TGCATGCAGGAGATCAGCTAGACTAAGGATAATTCAACTGAGATAATTTCAAACTAATATTCAGATTTTAAAATGACAATGTATAGTGAGCAATTAGTCGGCTATTGCTAAACTGGTATTAGCAAGAAATTTGGAGACACAGAAGACTCTTGAAGATTTGGGTCAAAAGACAGTAAGCCAAAGAATACAACAAAAAATGCTCTTATTAATCTGGAAACAATTTGTGAATTTAAAAAAAAGCTATATGCTGAATTTCTTGTATTAGATCATGTGTTGGCTTCACGTCTTAAAACTGGAATTAACATGAGGGAGGAGGCACAAGTTCAAATTGGGAGTGCTGAAAACTTATGGAACAGTGTGGGTTGTGCCAAGCTATGCTGAGTGACATTGTGTACATCCATTAAACAGCTCAGCCAGCCAAGTCTGTACAAACAAAACTTCACATGTATTGGCTTCTATACATTAAAAATGGTGCTGAGAATTAATACAGAAGGTCAAATTAGACATGGCAAAATTGAGTCATGCCTAAGTTATTGTCACTCTTCATATTTTGGCACAAATCAATAGGACCTAAAGTCACACGTTCTGCCTGCAAACCACTGCATCTGGCTGTTCCCTCTTCCCAAGTAGATTTAATTCTCACTAGGGAAAAAAGCAGCTAGAGTCTACTAGTTTGGGGGCAGCCAGCAGCGGTGGGGAAAAGATTCACTGCAATCCATAGTGATGTAAAATCACATGCTTTATATTAATTTATTGCTGTGTAACCCTCAATTCTAGTTTGAATTGGTGTGCAGCTATCAGTTCTAGCAACCTCAAACCCAGGTTAGGCTCTTATTATAAGGTTTGCCAGAGTCTGATACACTATGAACAACTTATGAAATGCCTAACTTCATATATGCCACAGCTTGTCAGTAGCAATATGCATCTGTGAAATGGATATCATTAATTTCTAAAATAAGTTTTATATTAAAAATTAAACATTAATAAAAGTATTATTATTTTATTAAAATTCTTTATTTAAAAACCATTGAATTTTTTCCTCAGTATAAATGACTCAGTGTAAGGAAACCTGTTTTTTTAAAAAAAATAATAATTGAAGGCATGATAAATTATGCCAGTGAGAGCTATAAACAATAGAGAGACTACAGTTTTTTGGATAAAATGAAATGATCAGGACTAGATTCCAAATTTCTCAGAGTTTAACATTTTTCTTCTCTTTGTGGTGTGTTCATGTGTGTGTTCACTTTTGGTCTTGAGTCACTGAGACTCAAGCCTGTCTTCAGAACACTCAAAGCCATTTATATCTTTCTATGCCAGATGATAGAACCAGATGCATATATCAAAAAGGGCAAGGATTTTATTCTTTCAACAGCTTAGGGAAGTGGTGGTGTTACAAGGTGCCAGTTCTCTCTTGATGGTATTGCACTGACATGTCACATTATGCTGCTGTTCCTCAATACTCTGAAAAGCCCTTGTTTCTGTTGGTAACACCGTCACTATAGATATCTATTTATCATTCTGTTTACAAGCCCATTTGTCTCTTCCATATTTACTAGCTCCTGCTATTTTATGTGTACTTCTAAGCTCATACCACATTGTTTGCAAGGTCACTGAGTGGGAGAGAATGCAGTGTGTGTGTACTTGAGTTCCCATGCTCTTATTAACAACTTCAACCTGTAGCTCTTCATAACTTGTGCAGCATTTAACATGGCCAAGTTTGCTACTGAAGTTTGGGGACTTGCATCAACCATTTAACTGTAATATTTTGCTATCAAAACTTGGTAATTACTATGTGTGGAAAAAATGCTGTGTAGTGCAAAAATGATACAACCACTCAGATATTAGAAATATGGTTTATGAGCTGTGTCCTTTTGAACATTGCCTCCTAGCCTGTTCTGTTCCAGACCGTTGCTCATTATAACTCTAAAACTAATTACTAATGGTGTTTTAAGGTGCTACCACTTCAGGCAATATGGTGCTGCTACAGCCACGGAAATCTGGTTGATGCTAGTCTGTGGAAGCAACTTGTCTCTATGTACTTGGAAGAGTTGTTTTTTTGATCACGATGGGCTTCCTCCTGAGATTTTGTTCTGATTAAGTCAGGGGATCCATTGTCTGCAAATCTAAAGCAGATTTTGTTTTGCCAGCAATAATTCCTGGGAGAACAACAAGATTTGGTATTAAATGTAAATTCATGCCAAGAGACAACTGATGAAGACATTTATCGTTTGTCATAGTTGGACAAGGACCCAAGTTTGACCAAAGGATATCACACAGTTTATTTACGTTTAGGTACAAACATGAACTAGCGGGTTTTTTCTTCCTGCCTTTGCTACTCATAAAAACAGCCCTGGTGGATTAAGCGAAAGATTCATCAAGTCCAGAATCCTGTTTTCACTCCAGCCAAATGCCTATGGGAAGCCCCCAAGCAGGGCCTGAATGCAACAGCACTCCCTTCATGTGCGATTCCCAGAAATCTGCTTCCAACAATGGAAGAATAACATAGCCAACATGACTAGTAGCCATCAATAGCTATTCTCCATGCCTAAACCTCTTCTAAAGTCATCTAAGCTGGTGGCCATCACTACATCTAGTGAGAGAAAATTCCATAGTTTAACTATGGTGTTGTACCAAAAAAGTGCTTTTTCTCTCTCTGCCCTGAATCTTCCAACATTCCACTTCACTGGATGATCCCATGTTCTAGTATGATGCAAAACCTATTACACAACTATCATGCCCATCCTTGTTTGAAAATATAACACACTGTTTTGCTACACCAGTCAATATACCACACTGTTCTTATTCGTGTGTGTTACAGTATTTCTGAACACCGATTCTGCCACACTTACTCATGACAAGTGCCTTTCTCAGTAATCATACTGAGACATCCATACTGAGACCCCAACACACACATCCAGTGTTAAAATCATTGAGTTGGGTGAGGGGTTTAGACCATCTAAGAATGTCTTGCCCAACCTGATGCCCTCCAAATCTTTCTTTCTTTCTAGGAGGATTAGAGACTTTTTTAAAAAAATGAAAGCTCAGAGGCTGGGTCTCCTTCTAGGGGTACCAGTGAAGGCCTTTGTGGGCATCACGGCACCCCTAGGTGCTGGGGTGGCAACTCCTGCACCAGGCACTGTACATTTTTTGGAAAAGGCTTAGCATGAAAGACTGACAATCTAAGCTGTATCTTCTAAACAGCCCTGAAAAAAATACAGAAGTGTAAAATACAGGCACAATATATTCAGCTGTGCAAATACAGCCACGCCAAGAACGATAAAATTAATGTCTGCCTTCTTAACACCATTTCTCCTAGAATAATTTTAAAACATACAGTTAAAGAAGAAGTCAGAACTAATGCACAACCTATCTGGAAAGCGCACTATTTTAAAAGAATACAATATATTGAGAGTCCCCAATATAAATGTGCTCTTTTTTATTTTCTTGTTTCACTTTTATAAATATCAGCCAAGGCCAGTTTGGCCTACGTAAGTGGGCCTAGAAGACAATAGTTTAAGAATCTTATGGCTTTCAAAATGCCATGGACTTATTTGTTTGTTTTCAGCAGTGCTTTTTTTAGGGGGACGCAACGCAGGGGTATGCATACCTCTAAACATTTTGTGAATCTAAGTTTGGCCTTATTGCGGGGCAGTATTTCAATATGAGTAGGAAAATGAGAGTACCCCTAAACATTTCTTTAAGGAAAAAAGCACTGGTTTTCAGTATCATCACCTGTCAGCTAAGCTGGCATTGCACAGTGTATATGATCACCAGCTCTTCAATGTTCACAAGTTAGTTTTAAAGTAGCAGTAACAATATCAAACACTTAGGAATTCTTATAGTAGCTGTAGTTATGTTGTAACAAAAGATTTTGTTTTATTGAAACAGTACATTTTGGCTGTGATCCAGATAAACATTATAAAGTGAAAAAATAGCATAATGTATATAATATTGGAAACAATCCATTTAATTGTCAAATCTCCTGTGCAATATTTGTGGCATGGTTTTTAAAAGTATAGAGGATGGATGGGAAGTATACATTTTGTTAAAAAATCAATAGTCACTCATGGCTGAGTACAGGTTTTTATTAGGCAATCACCTCAGGCAGCTGGTTTGGGTGTGATGAAATGGCAGCAAGTTGTTAGCTGTTTAATTTACTTTTATTATAATTTTATTGCCAGGGAGGGAGGCAAGGTGCATGTGTGATCTTCTGCTGGCCTTAAGGTACTATGCACCTTGACTAGGAAGGTGGGTCTACCTGAGTAAGTACTGAAATATAGGATGTGTCCATCCCTCAAGCCCTCAATCCGCAATGGTTTGTTGCATCATATTTAGGCAGCTAGATTTTTAACAGCATGATTTATAGAAGAGACAGTCAAGATTTGCATTAGTGAAATTGTAAGTAAGAGTTTAGTATGTGAAAGACCGAAATCCTATACCCACCCCAAAATGGGGTGTCCTGATTGAATCGGGACAGTTGAGGGACACGACACAGAACTCAACAAAATTTGCTTTTGGGTAAACATGTATAGGATTGTGCAGTTTTCATTTTTCTGTATCATTTTCCAGATAAATTTACTCCTATACTGACCCCACAAAGCCATGAGCAATATATAGATATAATAGAACAACAATTTCAGCTATTTCTGTGTGAAATACTGCTAATGAAATATGGAATTTCAAAAAGCAGGAAACGAGCCACCAAATTGGTTTATCCAGGGGAGCATTCTGCAGGCCCTTCTTGCTTGTTTACCAGTTTCTCAAACAAACTTGCCCTTGTAAGGAGGGAGGAATCAGCAGTAGGGAAAAGTGGTATGTATAGGCCTCACCCTTAAAGCCCAGATATACAACAAACCAAAGATTCTAGCAAGTTTTTATTTAGTATGCAATTATGTGCATGGACACTTGCAAGCCCTGTGCTCCTTTGTTACCAAGTGTGACAAAGCAACACTTCAACAAGATTTTTTTAACTATAATTTATAGTTTAATCTTATCCACAGATTGCATATTTTTTGACATTCTTCATGTGCAGTGACGTAGCTTCAACACCTGCATCCATCAATGCCACAAATTCTAATTATGTAACTGACATTAGCAAGATGTTCAGACAGAACAAGGAACACCCAAACATGACTGGACAGGATCTGCTTGAAAACTTGAAGAGCTGCACTTAATTGCAGCAGGCAAGACTACTTTGTTTTTTAAAATATATTTGCTTGATTACTAAAAAGTATTTCCCATTTACAACATCTGCTTGAACACAAAATATGTTCAGTGATATTTTAAACATTTCTTTGTGCATTGCTTATTACTTGCTGGTAATTACACATTAGTCAGTGTACAATTTCATCGTTCTCCAGTCAAAATAATTTCCCTCATTTCAACTGATCTCCATTACTAATTGACTATGCCATGACTATGAATTGACTATGACTATGACTATGACTATGAATTGTTTTATTCCTAGTCCAACTACATAAGTCACCCTCAACAGAAATGCAAGTGATCTTGGATTATGTGTATTTTGTAAATCATTTATAAATTTATATTACACACAGCAAAGCTCTCTAACCACACAGTATAATGGGCTGCATTTTAAATTAAGGGAATGGCACAAAAGTTAGCTTTTTGTATTGATTTGAATGTGACTAAAATGTTAATAACATTCTCCAGAGCTGAAAAATCCATGTGTACAAAACAAACCATACTTGGCACTTGCATAGCTGAGGGGCCATGACAAAGAAGATTCTAGGTTTTATAGATACCTGTCACACTTCACTCAGCAGAGCAGGGGTGGCCTAAGACATTTTGACACCTGAGGCAAACCTCCAAATGGTGCCACACTCCTTCCAGGGAAGAAGGGTTGAGTGACGATCTACATCAGGAACAAGAGAGGAATAAAGATCTACATCAGGATTTGCTGCCCCTGTGAATCCTGTCACCTGAAGCCTCAGGGGTGGGTCGTCCCTTTAAAAAAACCATCCCCTTGAATAATCTCAGTTCAGAGTACGGGTAGGGAGGGACTGGAGAGAGGGACGTTGTTATGCTTGGAAACTGAATCCACCAATAGAATAAAACAGTAAAGCTATATCTGGGCTGTACCAGTGGTATGTTGCTGGCATGGATGCTTTTTTAGAGGGTGGGGTGAATGGGGACAATTGCCCTGGACCAAAACCAGAATGAAAACAATGCTTCCTGCCTTAACTCTGATCTTGTGCCAAGAATAATAGCACCCACCAGTGCCCATAGAGAGTTTACCTTAATGATGGATCCTGTGTTTGTTTTATTGTTAACCACATGGAAGGTTTGGTGAAGTAGGGGCATAAAGGTTTGAGATCTTACAGACTGTCAGCAGCTAGAAGGTTATGTAGGGAGAAATGGAGAGTTTTGGCTGTACCATCTGCAAATAGAATGGCTTAACAAAGTATTGGAGTTTGGCTTCATGGCCAAGTTAACAGATAGATTCAGGGAAGAAAAACAATGACAATGTAACTTTATGGCAAATTGGGTTGATTTTATTGAATAAAGTAAAAAAGTACTGTTGCACGCCACCCAATCTTCAAGTAGTGTGAGACTTATCCAGGGTTTGGTTTCCTTAGAATGAGGAACAGTGGAGACTGATATCTTTTTGATATATGGTTTATTTACACAAAAATGCAACCTGAGCCTACACACACACACACACACAACTCTGGCTTTTGTCTTTCTCAATATCAGCCAGATGACTAAGAGGTCCCACCCATTCTTCCTTTCTTATACTAATGACCTGTATTTAGGGCCTTTAACTCACCAAGAAACTTCCCTGTCTTCTTCAACAGTGGAATCTCCCAAACTCACGACAATACATTCAGCAGTAAACCCTAATATAATGGGTTTTGAGGTTATGGTTTACAAGTTTTTGATAGTAGGAACATCTTTGTACAAGGCAGAGTTATTACCATAGGTAGGCAACTCCACTGGAATTTGGTTGATTCATTATACAGCTACTAATTATAAGCTTAATATGATTATATATTAATCAGGGTAATTTAAATGAATAACCTCCAACCATAGTTTCAGCTTCTATCTCTCTCTCTCTCTTTGAAAGCCTCTGTGTATTGAGTGGTATTATACAGCATGTATAATAGTGTTTATATTTTGTAACATATTGCAAAACTCATTTAAAATGGGAAGAAAAAGGAAATCCATTTCATATTGCTGCTCTTTTGACCTTTTGCTCCAATTGTCAAAATGGCCCCTATTTCAGTATGCAAACAGCATAGCAAAGCTGGGGGTGAGGGCATATCAGTACAGTGGTACCTCGGGTTACATACGCTTCAGGTTACATACGCTTCAGGTTACAAACTCCACTAACCCAGAAATAGTGCTTCAGGTTAAGAACTTTGCTTCAGGATTAGAACAGAAATCGGTCTCTGGCGGCGCGGCGGCAGCAGAAGGCCCGATTAGCTAAAGTGGTGCTTCAGGTTAAGAACAGTTTCAGGTTAAGAACGGACCTCCGGAACGAATTAAGTACATAACCCGAGGTACCACTGTACTGGAATCAACACAAAAATATCACAAACGGGCTTGCAACAATGAGAATTACAAAATAACTATATGGCAACTATATCCCACCCCTTGTGGCCAATGAAAGCCAATGAAAACCCTTTCCAGAACAATAACAAGTCACAATTCTGGCCGTAAAACATCAGTCATTATTTAGCCAGTTGGAATATGTATGTCTTCAGGGCTTTCTACGGGGCTTGAAGCCTGAAGGCCTTGCATAGATCTGCTGGCAGGGACCTGGGGAAAGCTAGTTCAAGGGAACAATAAGGAAGTAAAATAGGTGACAGCTTATCCAATACTATACTGTACACACTCTCATAAAGTCCTGTGAACTAAATAGGTTTTAATTGAGTAGACATGCATAGTATTGGACTAGAAAAGTTATTTATCTACATTATATTTAATGCCACTCTTTCCATAGAGCACTCAGAAGAGTTTATATCAATGAAAGTACAATACAATAATCACAAAACATAACAATAACTAGGAAGGGAATACAATTTTAAAAAATCAATGCAACCCAGTTTAAAAACAACAGAAATTACACATTCCAATACAAACATTTTTTATTTTTGTCTAAAGGACAATGAAATATTTGATGAATCAATGTTCTAGCATTTATTTCACTTCCTTTAGCTTGGTTTACTGATGAAATAAAAACTTTCTGTGTTCTTTCAGTTTAGTGTTTTCCAGTTTTAAAGTATGAGATGCAGACTGTGCACAAAAAATAAAAATAATAAACTCAAAACAAATCTCAGCACTTGAGAGTTTCCTTTGCTTACTATAATCATGTAACCACAGAACAAAGAGATGATCTGAACCATCTGCTACCAAGATTAGTAAATTTACCAGAATTCACTAAGATCTCTTTTGTGCTTAACTTTAATCCTATCAGCAGCTATGTATTATAGCTCAGCAAGCTGTCTGTTTCCACAAAGGAAACCTAAACAAAAAACCCTACTTGGAAGAAACTATTAAACAGCCGAGAATGGATGAGTATACAAGATTCTATCCTGAAGAATACAATATTATGAAGAGAAAAAATAAGATTGGGAAGGTCCCAGGTTCCATACTCAGCATCTCTGGATAGGGATGGGAGAGATATTTGTCTGAAAGCCAGAAGAGCTGCTGCCAGTCAGTGTAGGGAATACTGATCTAGATAGACCAATGGTCTAACTTGACATATATAATCATGGTGCTGCTGCTACATCATATCTATCCACCAAAGGTCTGCCATGTTGCACTTACCCACAGTTGCTTCAGCTTTGGGAAGATCAGTGCTTTTTTCGGGGGGGGGACACCCCTAAACTTTTTTTGAATCTAAGTTTGGCCTCATTGAGTGGCAGTATTTCTATATGAGTAGGAACATTAGAGTACCCCTAAACTTTTTTTAAGAAAAAAAGCACTGGGGGAGATCATGTATCTTTAGATCAGGGGTGGCTAAACCATATGTATTCATACCCTGGTCTGGTTCAGGCATTGCTCTAAATCAGAGCTTAATTTGGTAAGAACTAGTTGCAGCAACTATTGGGCTTGCGCGTGCGCGCACACCCACATACATTTCCTCTTCCAGAACAGCCACAAAGAAAAGTTTGCCTCAGTTTTTTGTAACCATAGCTATTGCTTCCACTTTTTCTAACCACAGCTTCTGACAGCTTACAGTTCTCCTTTCAATGTCAGTTCCCTCTTGCATAAAAATAAGTTGCTTAATAAAATCTGAATTTGTTAATGCTATCTGAATTTGCTTGTCAATGGGCGTTTGCTACCTACTGTTTACACTTTTAAAAATGGCATTAATATATTCCTGCCTTGCATTAATCTGTCTATGGTCATGTTATTGGGAACTGCTTAAGGAGTTGTCAATCATTAACTTGAACAAACCCAGAAAAAGAAACTAAAAGACGGTAGAAAGGATTGTGCTTTAGGGCAGGCACAGAGCTTCCACATTCATTCAGATCAGTGGAAGTATTTCTATTGCTGCAGAACTTAGGGCAAGCACAGGTAAAGAAATATAGGCAAGGGAGTTCTTTCTGGAATTACCATAGTCCTTACAAAGTGTTACATGCATATACTAATCCTGAGTAAATTTCTGTTGTATACTGTCTATTCCCCACCACCACCACCAGGGAGTTGGTGGTAGGCAGGAAGGAAAGCCATTATTAAAGCCATTTATTAAGGCCATTTTAAGGATGAAGGATATGCGCCGTCTCCCACAGCACGAAGGCTGAAGGGCGTGTTGTCAAATTTTGAGCTTGCTTACCACCACTACCAGCAACAACAAGGCAGTGTGTGGGCTGCAAGTTCCATGTCAAAGTACCCTTGCAGTCCACTTGGTATGAAAAGTTGGACCAACCTGTGTTATATGCTCCCAACTTCTCCAATTGATGGGAAATTCCATGGGCACCACAACCCAAGTTCTTTTCCACACCACTGGAAAGTGGTATATTTTAACACCCTCCACCTTTTCATATCACTTTACAATTTTTTTAAAGTCCTTATGGAAATCCATTAGCAAATTTCTCCTACCGTACACATTTGGGGGTGGGCATGTTTACATTTAAATACAACACTTTAAAATTGTTTTTTTAAGTGAAGAGGAAAAAAGTAAAAGGAAAAATGGGGAAAGGTATAGTATATTACTATAACAAATGTTAACAGTTAATATACACATTTTTGTATACAGTTTTGCCTGATGTGCATAACTGCAACTAAATTTTCATTCATGAAGTATATATATGAAAAAAAACACACACACTGTACTGTATATGCATCGTTCATATCCATTACCAGTGCTTTTTCCCCCTGGGGTACGCAGGGGTACGCATACTCCTAAATATGTTGTGACTCTGAGTTTGGCCTC